CTATCTTGTCTGAAAGTGAAGATAATTCACCTTTAAGTTTGACAGTGATATAATATTACTGTCAGTGAGTTTCCTGCGGCTACATTTGGCTCAGTTAATCTAATGTGAGTTTGATATAACAATAACAGAAACAGGAGCCCCTTTAAGTTTGGGGTCCTAAGAGAAAAGTGAATATCCTGATTCATATTCAGTTTAGTATGAAATGTACTGTGGTGATCCTGGCTCTCTTACTTTATATAAGCAATTGAACACATCAACAGTTCTTAAAGTCGGAGCTGAGGCCACTGAGGGCAAAAAGTACATTATATTAGGCATTCAGTGAAGTTTAATTAATATTTGAGTCTTTTGTCTGTCACATACATTTATAGATCTAAAAATACCCCCCTCTCTTAGCTTAGGTCATATTACTCGGAAATACAAAATGTCCTTTAATTGCTTCCTTACAGAGCTGCTTGTTGAGAGCACTTAAATGTCAAGGACTTTTTTCAGATAAAGAACAGGAAGTCAGAATTATTACTTATATTTCTGCATCACTCTCTGCATCACTCAGTTCTTGCTAGGAACTTGGACGTTATCTTTGGGTAGAGTTTACCCTAACCTAAAGGCAGGCTATGCAAACAATGTATAGACCAGGGGCGATTGCTCTGAGACAACAAGGGAGGCTGAACTTCCCCTAAAATTTCATAGATGAAATGGTCAAATATGCACTATTGAATTTACATTAAAATAAGAATTTACATTGCATTAAACGTGTGCTAGGATGCGTTTCACATCAGGATTATGATGTTCAAATGTCAGCTGTTAATCACCAGTTTTCAAACACGACATTCTCGTGTCAGCATGGTGGACGCAGAGCCTCCAAGCATTCCTATGATACAGCGCTGAGCAGGTTTTTTTGTCTAAAAGGCTGAACCCCTTTGTGATTGACAGCGCTTTGGAAATATACACTGGCATTGTCGCATTTTGAGCTCAGTCCCATGCGAATATTTGCGAGTGGAGTCTTCTGACAGAGTGTCGTCCGGAGTTCCTTATTTCCATAAGCCATATAGCTCATTTTCACCGTATGTACACAGTTCAGGTGTTTAAACCCATCTGAAAATCTTTGAGGTGTGTGTTGCTGTGGTTCTGAGTGTGGTTGAAAAACGGCTTCAATTAAATGTTCCTTTAATAAGTTACTGCCTTGCTACAATATGACAAATTTTATGATGTAACCTTACAGTGAGCTTCCCCCGTTTGAAAGACCAGCAGCTGCCAATGGTATCAACTCATGCAAAAGTAATCCCTCTGAATCATCAGTTATGATCCCAGGGCGTGTGCAGCAGTGTCTGTATCTGCATTTATTTCCTTCTTATTTTGGTTTGTTCGGGATGTTTCTGGGTGTCAACCTTTGGGTAGTGGTGTTAGCCAACAGCCAATAGCAGCGTGAGGTTGGGACTCTATAAAAATGCAATGACCAGCAATCTCTGTCCTCTGGTCTGTGGATGCAAGCTGCAGGTCTGCGTGTCTGACTGATTGAAGGTAGGGTTGAGCACACACACACAGAGCAGAGAAGCCAAGCGGACGGGATCATGCCCTTCAGCTGAATTCACACAAAATGTGACAATGCAGCATCTTCCTGCAGCTCTGTGCAGAGGTGTGGGTGTGTTAACTTGTACTTAAGAATGTAACCGTGTGAAATAATGTTTTAATTCTCAGATCTACTGCTTTATTCTCGTTAACGCCACTCCCCTTCTTCATTCAGTCTCTAGCTAGCTTGGTCACCGCTGCTCTCTGAGTATCGCTGAGCCGAGAAGAAGGGGCCAAGTTCGTTGTTTTGTTTACAAACCCTGCATAGTATTCCTTTAAACTCTGCTCAGCAGGTTTAGGTTGTTTCAAGGTTTGGATTTTAAGGCTCATAAAATAGTGTCGTTACATCCATAATGTAATGTTTAAATAGATCAGGGTGGGACAGCAGTTAAAAAGGTTTCAATCTTAAGAGTAAATCAAAAATTTACAATTAGTTAAAGACAGAAAATCTGTTTAATTTCACACCAGCAGAAATATGGGATTATTATAAAGTTTGAGCTGACAAAAAAGGTGATTATTAAACTTGGAGCTCTACGAAAAAAAAATAGTGATGGCTTTATTTGTTCCAGTGTGTTTACATCCTCTTGTGCAGCAGGAAGTCTCCACTGAAGATGTGTTTTCCAGGAAGTTCAAGAGTCTGTTCAATGAGATCTTTAAAGACAGGAAAAGTCTAATTCATCATTGTAGTCATCTCTCATTTGAACTGACGCCACTTTCTATATTCCTGTCTCACTCCAAGAATGTTTTCCCACCAAAAAAAAAAAAAAATGCTGAAGCTTTCCGGTGAGTTTTAAAATAGTTTTTCAGATCTAGATTTTATATTTTGTTTTGGATTGTGGCAACAAAAAGGGTCCCCAGATATTTCCAGATCAATCTTTGCAACCAGAGTGGACCTGAATTTTACTTTTAGGTTCCCTGAATCATGGATAGAGCTTCCTCAAATGAGCACTATCGTTACAATCTTAAAGAACTCCTTTTAGTACTAAATACAGTACGTACTTTTTATGTGCATTTGATCCAATTAGCTGGAAATGACATCCTGTCTCTTAGTTTAACTATGATTGATTGGTCTTGTATGTGTTAAAGCACTTTATAACCTCTGTTTTTGTATGACAGGTGTTTAAAATGGGGGGGCTTGATTCCCTCTGTTGTCAGGAGCTTATCTTTTAGTCTGCTTACTGTTAAGATTTTAGCCTTCATGTCATATAGTGGTTGACTCAGGTTTCATACCAAACAACACCTTTCAGCATTCCTCTTGTGAATCAACCTGCTTAATTTTTCCAGGCAAGTCAGCCTGTATATCACGGAAATCTCCTCCCACCACCTTAAAAAAAGAAACGCAGCAATCACACTCCCACGCCTGCGAGTGAGAATCTCTCTCTGCATGTGCTGCCTTGTTACAAGTGTTGTAATGTGGAGAGAATAAACTGAACCCCTGCAGTGCACCCTGTGGCCATCCGCCGAGAATCAAATACTCAGGAGGCACACACGCACACACATACACACACACACACACACACACACACACACACACACACACACATACATACATACAAACACACACATGCACACACACATCTAAAAACTAAGAAAAGCAGACCACCAGGTTTTTCATTCATGTTTCACCGTGATCCAAGTCCCTCAGGCTCTCACTATCATTATGCATGCATCAGTCTTTTCACTGGAATTTCTTTCACAAGTCCTGCCTTTTGATATGCAGCAGTGACGGCTGCACTTGATGTTGCAGCCAGGTATGAGCATAATACACCCTCATGAAAGCAGCAAGAGTGCAATCTTAAACTCTAGTAGTCTGTAGTCAGACAGATTAAATGTCATGGCACACTGAGGCGTGATGAATACCAGTGAGGACAAGTCATTTAAAGAATAAGGTTGGTGTTACTTTCTCTTTTTATTATAATCAAAGATTCCCCTGCAGACACTGAAACCAACAATACATTTAAGTAAGTAAGTTACAGTTCTTTAAAGCTGTGAATAGTCAGAGTGATGCTATAACATTTTAAAAGGTGCTTTCACACCTGCCCTGTTTGGTTCAGTTCATCAACTCAAGTACGCTTGCCCTCTAAGCGCAGTTTGTTTGGGCAGGTGTGAACACAGCAATCACACTCGGGTGTGCACCAAAACAACCGGACTGAGACCTTCTTGAAGAGGTGGTCTCAGTCCAGTTACAAACAAACTCGAGGTGGTGCGGTTCGTTCATGGTTCTGACCTGGATGTGAAGCAACTGCAGTCACATGACACATTGTTTGGGTTAAACATGAGCATGTTACAGTCCTGGAGGATTATTAATGTGCACCTCCTCCTGTACTGCCTTAATATGCACATTCAGCACATCCAATGCATCAAAACATTGTTTTCTAGTTGGAGCCGCGCCTCGTTTTCAAACTGTATGGTTTGACTAAAATGAACAATGACAGCAATATAGTCCACGATGAGCAGCGCTAAAATCAACCTGCGTAGTTGTCCCTCCATTGTGACATTAGAAAGTGTCACATCTATCTTGCAAGTGTACTCTTCTTCAACGTTTGCTTTACTTCCTGGATTTTTCTCACATGGAAATTCCGACCAATCAAAAGCAGCTTTCTCACACAAGGCATTTGATCTGGTCCGAGAGAGCGATAGAACGGCTTCAGTTCCTTATTTGAAATTAACACCAAATCCAGACCTTTTTCCTGAGTCTGTTTTGGGGAACACATAGTACTTCTAGAGAAATTCCCTCTTATGAAATAAAGTATACTAGACTGATATCTGGCTACAGATAGTGTTACAGTAGGATACATGTTAGCACAATACATTCATTGTTGGTTCAGTTTCCTAGGCAGAACTGCGGTTTATGATGAAATGATAAAATAACACCAGCTTTATCTTTTACCAGATTGTAAATGCCCATCAGGTGTCATGAGGTACATCCTTTGTGTTAAAAAAGTCTGCAGCATTTCAGCAGAGAACTTCATTTGAAGGTCTTTGGACTAACTGAGTCTCTTTGTTGAAAGCAGAGAAGTCTCGCTGGCCTGCTCTCACAGATTTTGTCCCAGGTCATTCCCCAATTACTGTTCAAGTGTTTTATGAGAGGTGATGGAGGACAGGACTGAAGACTATTGTGGAGCACAAAGAGAACTCGTGTTTTATGTTTGGAAGAGGTTGGGGGAAAATCCGTTGGGTTTTGTGGGTGCAATGGATGGCCACTCACCCGTGACAAACATCTGTACAAAAAGCTATTCCGCCTGAAGAATATCTCCAAGAACAATGTGCTGTAAAAATGCCGAGTGCTGACGTAAAGAAAGGCTACACTCAGGAGTTACGGATGTCTAAAATGCAGTAGTGTACGGTTGATAAGGTCATGACACTTTTGTAATGAAAAGACAGGATTTGAGGGGGTGGAGGAGTGAGAAGCTTTATGGCTGAGGAGGACTTACCAGTCCGTCACAGTTGTTAATGGCAACCGAGGCCCCGGGCACGTCTGTGATGTCACCGATAAAGGTGCAGTCTGTCTTTAGCAGCTCACGTTGCAGTATCCTCTCCGTCCCGCCTGTGACTTCAGTCTGGTTGGCGCCCATACTGGCATCATCACTGGTACTGTTGCTGACATTCCCGAAGCCGTGGACCTCGTCATGCCACTCAACCATCGCGCCCGGTGCCACCAGCTTGTTGTTGGGGCGCAGACGGAGGTGGAACTCCTTACCAAAGGCGGAGATGTTGAAGAAAAGTTTCTGCTCAGCCTCACCAGAGGAAGACACCTCTCTCTTGACACGCTGCTTGTGGGTGGCAGAGAGCAGGTGTGACAGGTAGTGTCCATGAGAGTCGGTGCTGAAGGGAGTGACAAGGCCGTATTCCTTCAGACGGCTCCTCAGACGCTCTGTAAGACAACACAGTGACAATGAGATGTTTTATTCAAGGCAGCAGGGAGAAGAATTAAAAAAACATTTCTGCACGTTTGTAAAATAACATTCCTTTTTCAGTCCAAATGTTCATGTGATGTGAAGAAAATATAAAGCTGAGAACTCTGTGGCTCGATGCAGCAGGGCCCCACATTATTTTTGGCTGGATCTGACCAGGGTGACAGGTGATAATTATTTTCATTATTAACCAATCCTCTGGTTTTTCAAATGAAACATTTCAAAATAGTTAAAAAAAAAGACCCATCACAAGTTTTCAGTCTAAAGCAATGATACTCAAAAAAAAGGCAAACCTTCTTCATGAACTAGTGAACAAGGACCATGTTTAACAACAGCAAAACTACATGAAAACATCACTTTACAAACTCTCACACAACTCCTGCAGTATAATCCAAATCTCATTTATCCAGTCATGTGCTCAGTTCTTCCCAAACACATGCATTTTCACCACAACGTAACAATATAAACACATTACTACAGTGTCATGCACGACCGGGCAGCGTGCCTGGGCACACTTGTGCGTTTGAACTCTGCTCAAGCAGCACTCGTGTGCCTAGGCACGTTCAGGGCATGCTACTCTTTGGTGGAAGTGTTTGTATTGTTGATGTTTAGCAGAAATGCTTGTATTTTGAAAGACCTGAGCACACGACTGGATAAATGAGACTTGGATTATACTGCACACTTTGTATGTGAGTTTGTAAACTGATGTTTTAACATGGTTTTGCTGTTGTTAAACGTGGTCCCCAATGACTTAGGAAGAATGTCCACCTTTTTTTTGGATTCTTTGTTCACTGTGGAGGCATGTGAGAAAAACAAAGCTTTTCTATCTATTTCTCTATTAACGATTTCTTCCGTTTTTATTTATTAATCAACAAAACTCTTCAGCACATTTACCATCAGATCTGTCCTTCCTCTTTACGTGTTATTACAGTTATGAACATTACTACCATTATCATTGTTAAAGAACAATAAATAAAGTCTTTCAAAGTGGGCATATTTCCACAGGCACAGGTGAGATGATAATATAACAAAACAGGAAGTCCAGTTTAAAGACTTCAAGATGCAAAGACTCTACACGAGAGTTAATCCTCCCTTGAGGCATAATTCACAAAGCTGGAAAGCTGTAATAACAACAGTTTGCTTCTCTGTCTCGATACTGAGAGGTAAACCATTGGAGAAGCACACATATAAACAGTACAAGGTATTCTGCCTGGAGTTTGAACTTGCATGTATTTGATTGCTGTTTCTTGAACCAGCGTTGTGCTGAAGCAATTGTCTGTGAAATGAGGAGGCTGTGATATTCTCTGCTATCACTGTTCTATACATGGCCTTGTTCTCCATCACAGATGGGCAGAATTTCATCAACTCTGATGCCAATGTCTCTTTTAAGCCACGCTGCTTTTAGATCTGGAAATGCATCTACAGGCTGAAGCCTTTCAGTGAGAGACTGTGGAGAAGAAAACCTTCCTTCTATAAGTTCTTGATAACCTGTTGCTGCCTTCAGTATGTCCAAAGTAAATACCTAGCACACACACACACACATATCAATATTCAATATCATCTTGGCATGGTACTCCATCCACCCTCAGGCTCTTGTTCCTTTGCTAATTTGTGGCTAACTCAATTGTACAAGGAAATCTGTGGGCCTTGAGAACACTCAGTTTAAAAGGAAATTTCCACCCAGGCTTAGTTTGCTTTTCCAAATGTGTGCGATGGCAGACACATTCAAAAATCTTTGGTCAGTTTTGGTTGGAAAAAAATGTAACATGAATATCGAAACCTTGTAATTATCTTGTAGGTTTTGACTAGAAGACGTTCAAACAGGTGTCAGTGGTGGAACTCAAATTACACGTCTGAGGAAATGCCATACTTTACAAATCATAGTGTGCACGCTCTGCATGTGATGTAACAACCGTGCATTTGATGAGCTTTAGAGAAAAAAAACATGCAGATATCACACAGACAAAATGATAATGATACTGACAGAGTGACGCACGTTAAGCTGTGGGTTTTGGAAGCAGCTTCATCACAGTTAAAACAGATCAGGACACACAGAGCACCTTCATCACATCTCCACAACTAAAGTAAACTACAGGCAGCACGTGTCTGATTTTTAACGGGCAAAAAAACATCAAAGGCCGTCTTTATGGGGCAAATACCTAACAGTTACATCACGCTAACTTTACTCTCTCTGCAAACATGGATGACACAGTGTTAGTTGTTTGATAGGGATACACAAAAGCCTGTGCAACATGTGCAGCACTGATGTAAGTTTAGAAAAAGTATTACACATTACCCCCACAGTTTGTTCTTGCAGTAAAAGCTGGTGTGACAAATCTTGAAGGGATGAAGAAGTTATAGAGCCATGGGTCAAAGAGGAGCCAAGAATTAGCTGTGTTCATTAGTGAGTATTTGAAGGAGTGGGGTTTCACTGCCTAATCCTCGGGAGGCCCGGGTCTAATCTCAAGAGCCATGTCTTCTACTTAGAGGAAGGAAAAAAAGCAGAACTTTGTGCGTTCTAGTTCTTTATTCAGACCTACAACACAGGTGCAGTTTAATCTTTTCTTAAAGCTTCTAAATCTTCAAATTCAAATCAAATCATGATTATGTCTCTCTACATTGTACTTTTTATTGGCAGCAGTTGTGAAACTATTTTGCATTGTGTGCAGCATGAAGTCAGATCGCGTCTACACTAATTCTCTTTATTAAGACAGAGTGAATTTGTTTGTTTGCTCTGTAAACTTGATCTGTTGTTTTTCTGACAAAGTAGCTGCTGCAGGACTGTTTTCTGTAGCATCAAATGGCACTTGTTGATGCCATGGTAACCACACATATCGCCAAGGGCATAGTTTGGCGGTCCTCTGTGGTGGCTGTGGCTCAGAAGTAAAGCATGTGGTCCACTGATCGCAAGCTCAGCAGTTCGATCCCCAGTCTGCATATCAAAGTACCCTTGAGCAAGATACTGAACCCCAAATTGCTCCTGATGGTTGTCCCATCGGTGTGAGTGTGTTAAAAACTGAGCAGCAGGTGGCACCTTGTATGGTAGCCTCGGCCACCTTTGTGTGTGAATGGCCAAATGTGACTCGTAGTGGAAAAAGCACTTGGAGTGGTCAGATGACTAGAAAGGCGCTTTACATTTACCATTCCTTCTCCAGGAAATGTTGAGCATCGAACACTAAAATCCCTGCATTCTGGTGAATCTTTACACACCAATTCGCACCTTTTCTGCATCAATTTCCATTAAAAATGTCTTTAATTTCATCAAAATAAAAATCCTCTGCTACTTGTAAGTGTTTATTGTTGGGGGACAAATGCACATGCTCTAAATATGGAGGGGGACATGTCCCTGATGTCGCCCCCAAAAGCTATACCTATTGGTGTTGCCAAGAATTTAACTCATCTGATTGCTTCTTCAGGACTGTGTGGGTGTGGGCTGATGGTGGCAACTGTCATCACGTTTGATTTAAATGCTGCTAAATCCTGATTGGGGGATGTTTTTAACTGGAGCCTTGCTCATGTCAAACCAGTAAGAAGAGCGCTGACCAAAAACAAGAATCCAGAAATCTCTCATGTAAAATAAAACAATCTAACTTTGGAAGATGATTGTGTGGTCGTGCCAGACCCTCACTGCTCAGACTAAAAAGCTGATTCCAAGAAATATGTTCTAAAATCTTTCATGACCGACTGATCCTTGAAATTTTGGGCCGGACTACACGAATAAAATTGGAAGAGAGCAAATTTAGAGAAAAATTTCTGCCTTAAATTCATTTGCCGTGCTGTTTTTCAACACGGACCCTATTTTCTCATGCTTTTGTCTATTTAACAACAAAGACAAGATTTTTTGAAACTGGTAATCAGATTTCAACTAAATCAGAGATGTTGATTGTTGGAACAGTGGAAAGACAAACCAAGACATTTTTTGTGAGTTTTATCTTGCTTCTATTGGCTGTGAATGAAGTGTGTTTCACAATGTTAAAATTATTGTTTTAAAAATGATGTCTGGTGGGATTGACGATGGTGATTTTGGGGCTTTTTCTGTTTAAATAAAAAGGATGTTATTCTTTATTAGAAAGATCTATCTCCATAAGGATCCTTTCCATAATGTTGTTAGACACTTAAACATGGGAAAACAAGGTCCAGGTGGAAAAATATCCCACTTACCCATTTAGTGTTTAAGGGTATGAAACCTGAAAAGGACGCCTGACAGCTAAAGGAACATTTCTGAATAGACCTTGGACTTGAGGTGACTTGGAGCAGACTTGGGTTTGCAGCACAATGCGTATGATTTTCTCTGTATGGAATATGTTTTAAAACCCTTTTATTTAAAAAGAGCAAAAGCTAACGCTCCACAGAGTCTGATCTGTAGTTGTACACATAAAACTCTTAAGCTGAAAAAGTACTTGTTCAGTTACTCTTAGAAGTCATTCACTCCAGTGCTACAAAGTTATTTCATACTTTTAGGTAATGCACTTACAGTATCTTTCTCTCTCTCTCTATTCAGATAGATGCATTGTGTCAAAATCAAAGGACAAGGCTAGAAAAGTTTCTCTGAAAGGTTGTTTACTTTCTCCTTTGACTTTCATGGTTACAGAGGTTAATAACTTCTACCACCTCAAACCATTTAAAACCATACTCATTCAAATATCAAACACTAAAGACACATTTTTAAATGATAGACAGCGTATTATAACACGAGTTGCATAATAATTCAATGAAAGTATAGTCTGAACAGTTTGCTAATGATTGGTTTTATCTTGACATTTCATGTTTTGATCCATGTTGGAAAAAACTGAATGTGTGTACTGAGAGGAACATTTGTAATTCACAATGAAAGGGCTAAAATGGTAGATTGTGTCTGAGACACTTTAGAACGACACATCTCTACTTTATCAAGGTACCCAGGTCATTGCTGCAGCCTCAACACAACACACCCTCAAAAGAGACTGGCTACAGATATGGA